TCTTCCTTAAGTCAGCGGGCTATTGAATTCATGGGAACGTGATACCTCGGAGAATCACTCGAAATGCTTGTTAGGATTTTATCATTAGCTGATTAAAACTTTATATTTTGTGTTGAAGGACTATTTTTCATACGTGTTTGAAGACAGTGCACGTGTTGCGAAGACGTGGTTGTTTCTGTGGAGACTTAGTTCAGGAGGACAATAGCGATTACAGACCAATTGTACTGTTGTACTGTAGGAATAACAAACAGTACGTGGGTAATGAAGAGCAGATATGCGAGATTAAAAATGATTAAAAAGTATGAACGTGTTGGTTGGATACAAATAAAATATAGTTGAACGAGCTTGCTCATGTTCTTTATTACAGAATCCTAATGTTTGCTGTCCCGTGAAGATAGAGGACGCAGTGTGTTGCACCAAACGGCCTTGTCGTGTGCTTCAATTCATCTGCAGTATCAAGTAATTCTGTTGTGCATGTTTTCTGGAGGAGATTCACTTCTTGTGATTATTATGGCATTTTAGCTATTCCCATATCGTAATGACATCATTCGCATTACAAATGTTTATCCGACAACTGATAACTCACCAGAAATGCAATATGTGAAGATGGTATCTGGATAGATGAAAGCTATATGCACGAGTCCAGGCCTCCATGCTGTACCACGGATTGAACAAGGGGAAGCAATGTGTTGTAGTTACTTTTGTTGTATAATGAACATAGGTTTGGTTTCTCATAACTATAAGAAGCAAGAAAATCGAAATAAAGATATTTACGTCATTTTCTCCACATGCCAATGCTTAGGGATATACTAAACAAACTGAACAATATTGAAACAATATGACAAAGAAACCCCGAGTTTATTGCACTGCCCTGTGGTTTGATCTAAAGAAGTCCTATTTTGTTGATATTTATCCACGAAGGCTGGGTTGCCTGCCTTTACGTGCTTGGATTATCATACACTTGTTTTGAAACTAGGACTAGGAACCAGTCTGTGCGTAGTGAAATATACCCAAACTATGCAGATGAACAAGGAAATAAATATTTATCGATGCGATAAACCAATACAATTAACTTGCAATACGACCAAACAAATATGTAAAGGATGTCATCTATCAGGAACAACTTTAAATACGCTCCCTACATACAATGCAGCTTCGATGCCTACCTGCTGTACTATTACTTGAATACGCCTTAAACATGACATTATTTGATATATTCAGAAGTCTGTGTATTCCTTATATTTATTGATACTTGATGACAGGTTTTACTTTGTTATTAAAGATTCCTTTTAATCTTCATAGATTGATACAATTTTCATCACTATTTTGCCTTTTTCGCCAACGTAATCTGTTTTTCTGATAATCGAGACCGGTTAATCTCTGGCCTTGACGTTTGATATTGATATTTTTTAACACTAAATTGGACACGGTATATTGATCACCACATCACAGATAAAGATGTTAATGATCTGTAAATGACAAATAAGGACGTCATTAAACGGGCATTTCAATGTGTTGATGGGAAATGAAAGAAACTTTGGTTCACGATCGGCGACAGATAACACTTATATATACACTTAAGTGTAAGAGACTGAGTTTGAGAAAAGTGATATCTTCATTGCAGTTAACAAAACACTTGATATTTCAAGTAGTTAAGTCATGTAAGGCATATATTGTTTTATGTGATGCAGTCAAGAAATAAATGTATTGCTTGCATGTAGTGCCGTAAAAGTACAGACATAAACGTTATTGCATAGGATGTTTGTTGTCAACACTTATCTTTGTTCTAACACTTCGTACTGGTATTTATATGTGATGATCCCTAACTTACCAAATAGTGTATACACAGCGTTTTCATATGTTGCACGAAAGTAAAGTGTGTATTCTTCCATATGTGTTCAACAAAGCTAAACACATTTTGTTCAAAGTTGGATGCAGGAAGTAAAAATACCACAATACATGTAATAATATATTATTCCATGTGTGTAACACTCAAGTAAAGTGTGCACTGTTCTACGTGTGTTGCAGCAAAATAAAACATATTGCCACATGTGTGTAGCAGCAACAAATAAAACATATATTTGGGAATGACCATGTGATACATGTATTAAAGACAACACCACTGAGTATGTATATTTGGGAATGACCATGTGATACATGTATTAAAGACAACACCACTGAGTATGTATATTTGGGAATGACCAAGTGATACATGTATTAAAGACAACATCACTGAGTATGTATATTTGGGAATGACCATGTGATACATGTATTAAAGACAACACCACTGAGTATATATATTTGGGAATGACCAAGTGATACATGTATTAAAGACAACACCACTGAGTATGTATATTTGGGAATGACCATGTGATACATGTATTAAAGACAACACCACTGAGTATGTATATTTGGGAATGACCAAGTGATACATGTATTAAAGACAACATCACTGAGTATGTATATTTGGGAATGACCATGTGATACATGTATTAAAGACAACACCACTGAGTATATATATTTGGGAATGACCAAGTGATACATGTATTAAAGACAACATCACTGAGTATATATATTTGGGAATGACCAAGTGATACATGTATTAAAGACAACACCACTGAGTATATACATTTGAGAATGACCAAGTGATACATGGTTTAAAGACAACATCACTGAGTATATATATTTGGGAATGACCATGTGATAAATGTATTAAAGACAACACCACTGAGTATATATATTTGGGAATGACCAAGTGATACATGATTTAAAGACAACATCACTGAGTGATGTTTGCTTTTACCCGATACAAACAGCTTAACAAGAGACATGTTCCCCCAACCGTCAACATATTGTACTGTTTCCTCTTCTAATTGCCTCTCATAAGTGAGAATAAGTACGATGCCAATAACTGATCATACAGTGTTCCTTCCTGAATGTAATGAATAATCTGTTTGTTCGTCATGAGATGTTTTGTTAAAGTTGCATTTGAAAACATTTTTGATGTTTTTTTAACATTTTTATTGAAATGAAACGGACTACGAAATGGACATATTTTCTTACCTAATGTAATCCATTAACCTTGGCATGGTGCAGCCATGTTTCACCTAAAAGAAATCACGCAGAGTTAATTTATATGATAAAACCAGCTAATTACAAGTAAAAGCATAAGGGTTATGTACAAAATGAGGCCAATCATTTCCCCGGCGAATACCTTTGAATGTCAAATCTAGTTGTAAACACATCATATAGTTCCATCTGAAAGGAAACAGTACACGGTTTATAGGACGTTGGTAGAACTGTGGATGTAATAACGATCATCAATACTCATTCCCAAGAACCAGTATATATAATACATGAGCCGTGGAATCCATACGAAGCAGCACGTAACTAGGAGAGGGGAACTATCACCTTCACTGCCTTATGGCTAGGTAGGGTTTAACCCTTTTAATCTTTGAATAACATCACCGTTAAGAAATAAAATTTCTTGATTTGAGGACAATGGTATATCGCAATAGTATGGTCATTGAGATATTAAATGAGATTAATTCAATGATGCGATTCGAACCACGGTCCTTACGATTTAAGGCCGGACGCCTTGTCCACGAGGCCAAAGTGGTTCATCCTATCAACAGGGTTACAAGGTAAGGATATCGTCTCGAGAATGACTTCATGCCCTGTGACATATTTGGTAAGAATTTGTTACACCTTTGGTTCGAAGTGATATTATAGATTTTAGACATAACACAATGGCGAAACCAACGAGCACCGTATGAGGCTTCCAGACCTTAAGACATACGCAGGGCGAACCCACGATCAAGGGTTTTTGCGCAGCGAAGTATGGCGCGGTAGACGACTGGGGCAGCGTTAAATCGTTTGTAGATACTGACACTTTACATGTTTTTAGTTTTTAATAGATATCATTTTCAATTCATGTTTTAAAATATGAGATACATATGTGCAATTTAGAAAAAACCAAACCGTGACTTATTACGTTTGTATTCTTGGATGAACTAACTTCCTGTGACAAAGCACAGCCTATGGGAACCTAATACTCAACTAAAGTGATGTCAGTGAAATAAATGACTGTATAATCCTTCTTGTGTCTGATATTTATCTGACAAACATAATCAACGTCATGACGCCTCTCCTTAAACCTTCCATTTTCTCTCTGACTTTTTTTATTGAGGACAAGCACTGAAACCCCCAAAACTTAAGAATTCTTAATTATTTTTCATTATCTGTAAGCTACATTATATTTCTAGGCCCCATTCTATGATAGGTTGGCAACCCCAAACATTATCACGCAGATAGTCAGTTAGGCTAGAAATCATCACACAGCACATCAGTCAAAAATAGAAGACTTCTTACGCTACGTAACGAATTCAGTGAGATTGTGCTTAAAACCGTTTTGTCGTGCCTGATTGAAAAATGCACAATTGTAATTAGGCTGTTGACACTTATGGGAATATTCAGAATAAGTAACGATGTGTGACCTTGCATTATTGAGTGATTGAGTGATTGAGTGATTGAGTGATTGAGTGATTGATTGAGTGTTGTGAAAACCCCGCCAACAATATATGAGATTTATCACAACGGCTTGCTACTTATCGAGCCTGACCAAGGCAAAACAGTGAATGAAAACACAAGCAGCCAGGTGATATATGAATGTGTGAGTGAGTCATTTTACTACAACTGTATTGCTTTTTGGCATTACGGTTGAAAGGAACTATATCCTAGTATTTGCTTCTGAACTTGTTAATGGTATGAAACAAGTTTGTAACCAAAACATCTTTATTGGGATAAGCCTGAGGCACTTTAGTGCTGAAACATGATAATAGCATGTAGCAAACTGTAGCAGCCCGGTACCCTTTAGGGAAGTGAAGTAAATAGAGTGACGTTCAATATAATTGCAGTTATGTTGCTTTTGTGCGTACGTATTTTCTTGAAAACTTCTTTTTCGACTCTACATCTGTTGTTCTCTCACGTTTCACGGGCATCTCTAGAAAGCGTCTTTGCGTGGTCGTTGGTGGTAGCCAGTCAGACAGCCACGGTGATGCCGCTACAGGCCTCCTAACTGTGTGTTGAGCAGGTGCATGCCTCGAGTACTCCTCACTGACGGTGGGTGGGACTGGTGCTGTTGACGTGGATGGGTTGTTATCGGCTCCAGATTGCTACATGTACCAGATATCGGCAGGTGTAGGGTCCCCCATCTCACAGATCTCGGGGTACTGCCTTCGGATGACTGCTTGGTTTGTTTGTTTGCTTTTTGTTTAACGCCGCGCTCAGCAATATTCCAGCTATATGACGGAGGTCTGTAAATAATCGAGTCTGGACCAAACAATTCAGTTATGGACATCATGAGCATCGATCCACGCAATTATGATATGATGACATACATCAACCAAGTCAGCCCGCCTGACCACTAAACCGTTAGTAGCCTCTGTCATCAAGCATGGTCGCCTTTTACGGCAAGCATGGGTTTTCTACCCCCGATCTTCACAAGCCGTGTGGCTGCTTGGGCGTCAGTTGTAAGACTTTACTCTTACTTAGGTGTTTGTTTTGTTATTGATCCAAGATTAAACATTAGTTTCCAAAATGACACGCGACGCATTTCATCAATTTGACCATTATGTTCTCGTGTTTTTCAGGTGACGGGTGCGACTGGTAGAGCAGGATGAGGACAGCTGGTATCAACACCAGTTGATAGTTAATTAAAAACACATGATCACGAAACGGTCAGAATCGCACGAGGGACGCCTTTAGTAAAATTTGTTTATGATTTTGGAAAGGGTTTTGTCACTGTCTTTAATCTCTTTGAGGAAGATCAATAGCCACCTGAAGTCATTACTTGGTAGTGGAACCACGTTTGTGTGGTGGACACAGCATTCAATGTCTAGCTTCCACAGCAGCACGCTGAACAATGGAGTACTGGTAATTAGGTTAACCTTATCACAAAAACGACAAGGAAAACAATTCCTTTTTTCAAAGGTGAACTTTTTGCATTGTTTGAAACTAATAAAAATAAGTGAATTGTATTGGCTCTCCGTTGTTTGGAAAACTTTAATACTTTCTTTCTTAAGTCAGTGGGGCTCTTGATGAATTCATAGGAACGTGATACTTCGGAGAATCATTGACATGCTTGTAAGGAACTTTATCATTAGCTGATGAAAGTTTTTTGTATTGAGGGACTATTTTTCATACGTGTCTTGTGAAGACGTGGTTGTTTCAGGAGGTAGTACATGGGCCAATAGTTGTGGGTGCTGTGACATGGGAGGTAACCATTGCAGAGATCACTCGTATTATTTGTATGATAAATTGGTGCACAGTATATTTAAGATGTACTGTTACACGTCGTATTACGTGTAGGATATACAGTTATAGATCAATCACAAACTCCTATTACGTGTGCATACCGTTATAGATCAATCACAGACTCCTATAACGTGTGTATGCTGTTATAGATCAATCACAGACTCCTATTACGTGTAGTATATACTGTTATATATCCGTCACAGACTCCTATTACGTGTGGGATATACTGTTATAGATCCGTCACAGACTCCTATTACGTGTGTATACTGTTATAGATCAATCACAGACTCCTATTACGTGTGTATACTGTTATATATCCGTCACAGACTCCTATTACGTGTGGGATATACTGTTATAGATCAATCACAGACTCCCATTACGTGTGTATACTGTTATAGATCAATCACAGACTCCTATTACGCGTGTGATATACTGTTATAGATCAATCACAGACTCCTATTACGTGTGTATACTGTTATAGATCAATCACAGACTCCTATTACGTGTAGGATATACTGTTATAGATGCGTCACAGACTCCTTTTACGTGTAGGATATACCGTTATATATCCGTCACAGACTCATATTACGTGTGTGATATACTATTATAGATGCGTCACATACTCCTATTACGTGTAGGATATACTGTTATATATCTGTCACAGACTCCTATTACGTGTGGGATATACTGTTATAGATCCGTCACAGACTCATATTACGTGTATATACTGTTATAGATCAATCACAGACTGCCATTACGCGTGTGATATACTGTTATGCATCAATCACAGACTCCCATTACGCGTGTGATATACTGTTATGGATCAATCACAGACTCGTATTGCTGCTACAACAAAGTCATGTCCTCGTTTTACATGTAAGATTTATTACTATAGCCTACTCGTATTACGTGTAAGATGTACTGTTATAGGTCTCACTGAATCCAATTGTATGTAGAATATTCTGTGCTAAAAGAAATGAGTTCCAGAAAATAACAGCCAAACATACATGTACAGGAGATATAAAAAAGGACTTAACGTTTGTCCTGAAAATAAATTGACACCTCTGTTCTGAGTATACGTAGTGACATCCTGTCTTTATATATCGAGTTGTCGTTACATTCCCTGCACTCTTCATCTCCATCCTTTGGCAAACGACAACAATAATTACAATTGTGATGATCATCAAGACCACATTGACTTGTATATTTACGACTTTCTTGTGTTCTTCCTGATCACAGAAAGGAAGCCTTATCAATGCACGATGCTCCTTATCAAAACGTTATGTGATCAGTGTGGTTGTAAGGCAATTAGCATTCCTTATTTTTAAGTTTTCTGTAATACTGAATCCTAATGTTTGCTGTCCCGTGAAGATTGAGGACGCAGTGTGTTGCACCAAACGGCCTTGTCGTGTGCTTCCATTCTTCTGCAGTATCAAGTAATTCTGTTGTGCATGTTTTCTGGAGGAAATTCAATTCTTGTTATTATTATGACCATTTTAGCTATTCCCATTTCGAGTTCCCATATCGTAATGATATCATTCGCATCACAATATTTATAACTGAAACTCACCAGAAATGTAATATGTGAAGATGGTTTCTGGACAGATGAAAGCTATATGCATCACCCCAGACCTCCATGTTGTACCAAAACTTGATACATACATTTATGTAATAACTTTACAATGAGTCGATGGTTAACTACATTTTAGAATTCTCCCTTGATCAATATACTTCTTCCACGCTCTGACTGTAGGGAAACAATGTGTTGTGGTTACTTTTGTTTTATGATTAGCGCAATTTTGGTTTCTTATAACTACAAGAAGCAAGAAAAACGAAATGCCATGCTTTGAGAGATATGCTAAACAACCTGAACGTTGATAAAATACCGATATGAGTAAGAAACCCCGAGTTGATTACCCCGGGTAGATCTAAAAAATTCACACCACAATGGTTAAACCCACGACAGAGGTATGGGGCTTCCAAACCTAGAAACATACGCGGAGAAAATCGGGGATTCGAACCCACGATCATTGATTTCTGCACAGCTAATTATGGCGCCGTAGATGACTGGACTACCCCAGCAACCGCTACATCGTTAGCAGTTACTGACACCTTAAATGTTTTTAGTTTTTCGTAAACAGCACTTTCAATTCATGTTTCCAAATATGAAAGATTCAGTTGCAATAAATATTTAAAAAATCCCAAACCCGCCTGTTACATATAACGTGTGTATTCCTGAATGAACTCATGGTGACGTCCTGTGATAAATCGCAGCCTGAGAGAACCAAATTCTCAACTGAAGCGATATCAATCGAAATAAAACACTTTTGCCTGATATTTGATTGACAGCAACGTCATGACTCCTCTTCTAATCCTGCCAGGCAGATTCCTTCTCTTTGTTAAACATCTGAGCGGTGCTAAATTTTCATTTACTTTTTTTATATTTATCTGTGATTTCAATTTTGAGGACAGGCGCTGAGACAAAAAAGCCTTTATAATTCTAAATTATTGTTAATTGTCTGTAGGCTACATTAATAATATTTTCAGGCCCATTCAATGAAAGGATGTCAGTCGAAAAAATTATCACGCAGGTAGTCAGTTAGGCTAGAGATCAAGAGCACATCAGTCAAAAATAAAGATTTGTTCAATGAGATATGCTTCAGACTATTTTATTCTTCCAAATCGACAAATAAAGAGTTGACATAAGGCTATGGACACTTTGAGGAATGCATTTTCATATTTAGACCTTTAATGAGTGAGTGAGTTAAACCTTTAATGAGTGAGTGAGTGAGTGAGTGAGTGAGTGAGTGAGTGAGTGAGAACAAAACCCAGCCAGCAATTTATCAGTTTTATCACAACGGTCAGCAAATTGTCGAGCCTGGATAGGCAAACCAATGAATGAAACCACGAGCAATGATCAAGGCCCATCGACTCACAGTTGGCTGGTTGGTAGGCAGGTGGCTTGGTGGGTGGGTGGCGGGCTTGATTGTTTGGTTATGTTGGTTGAGTGTTAGTTGGGTAACTTGAGTTAGTTTAGTTAGTTAGTTTTTACAACTGGTTTCTTTTTTTCGTATCATAGTTCAAAACAAACTATTCATTATTATATGACGAGAGTCTATACTTTTGAACTTGGTTATGGTGTGAAACAATTTGTAACCAAAACGTGAGACACTTTACTGCTGAAACTTGATAATGGTATGGAGCAAACTGTGGCCGCCCCGGGACCCATTAGTGAGGTGAGGTGAAACGGGGTTTAGCGTCGCGTTCCATTTTAGTTATGTGTATTTGCGTGCGTGCGTGCGTGCGTGCGTGCGTGCGTGCGTGCGTGTCTGCTTGTACTAGTCCACCTTGTTTTTAGTGCTAGCTCATTGAGATACCATGCCACTGTTTTGCATGGATGCTCCACTCAGACGCAATATGACGACACCGAATCCATCACTCCTTGTTTTATCCCCTCAATCCCGAGCGCCAGGCAGTCTAACAGCACGTGTTATATTTGTTTCGTCTTTTGGGAATGAACCACCGACCTTCCGCTCTCCGGGCAGACTCTCTATCCACCCAAACACAGTGGCGGTCACCGTTAGTGATATAACGCATTGGTGTAAATAATGTTCTTCACTCTTGGAAAAGGTTTTGTTTCTTAGATTGTATGAAAACTTCTATTTCGACTCTATATCTGTCGTTCTCCCACGTTTCACGGACATCTCGAGAAAGCTTCTGTGCGCTGTCGCTGATTGTAGCCAGTCAGACAACCACGGTGATGCCGCTACAGGCCTCCTAACTGTGTGTTGAGCAGGTGCATGTCTCTAGTACTCCTCACTGACGGTGGGTGGGACTGGTGCTGTTGACGTGGATGGGTTGTTATCGGCTCCAGATTGCTACATGTACCAGATATCGGCAGGTGTAGGGTCCCCCGTCTTACAGAGCTCGGGGTACTGCTTTTGGATGACTGCTTGGACGTACGTTGTTGGGTTATCTGTCGGTAATGTGTTGTTGCCGATCAGAGATTACAAATGTATGTCTTTTCCGCATGCAGCATGCGAAAAATTAGCGACAAAACCTTTTCCATAATCACAAGAAATCTCTGCTTAAGCAGAGTCCATTGTACGATTCCGACTATATCAAAAGCATGTGTTTATCAATCACTAATGTTCGCGAAATGCTGAGCGTACTCTGCACAATCGGTGCACCCGTCAAAACCATATACAAAGGCATGTCAAGTGTTCACCTGAAACAACACGGGAACATATGGTACAAGTCAAAGAAGGGAATTGTATCAGACGTCATTGAAAACAGACTCTCATGTAGGAATGCATATAAGGAATATTGACTTGTTATCATCACGAAGATTAATTAATCAATACAAACTTAATTGAAATGAAGATTTATCTTGTGTTTGA